GTTGCCGGTCAACACGCACTTGGCCATGAACATCGATTCGTACGAAAATCTGATGACCCGAATCGGACGTTTGCGATTGAGAAGAAGTGGTTCAACTCAACTCTGATTTCTTCCAATCTTCGTCGCCTACGCACCAACATCAAGCTACGACGAGGATGAGCTCGCGTTCTAAATGGAATAGGAGAAGTGAAGATCATGCATTCTCCAAGGTCATCGTCGGGGATTTCAACGCCAAGATTGGACCAAGAACAACGGCTGAAGAACTTCACATCGGAACACGGAATAGAGTGGAATTAGAAGGGGAAAGGCTGTATAAGTTCATCATGTCGACCCATGGTAACTCGCAGTTCCGGAAGCCCTACTCTCTATGCTGGACTTGGCAGTCTCCTGGTGGACAAATCTATAATGAGATCGACCACATCATCTTTGATCGAAGGTTTTGCTGGCCGATGTCGCAGTCGCTCCTAAGTTCTACACGGGATCCGATCACCTTCGCGCAAGTCCGCTTTTCGATGCGACGAGAGAGAGCAGCAAAGTCAAGCAGGCGAAGCAACAAGACCATCATCGTTTGGATCATTTCATTTCCTCTCGCTGTGCTCTGGGAGGACTCCGATATCGACAACATTGACGAAAGAATACGAACGGCTTGTCAACATCTTTACCGCTGCGCCAAGATGTCAGAGACTTCCAAGGTAACCAAGAACAGCGATAGTTCTGGAAACTCACGAGCGGCATTGGCCAACCGCAGGCAAATACCAGCCGACGTCTGAGTTGGCAAGCTATGCAGAGAAGCGATGAAGGAAGACCTCAAGGAGGAGCAGCAGTACTGGTGGAAGCCGCAGAGGCTGGGAAGAGCATCCGCAACGACCGCCGTGCCATTGCCAACTGTAAGACTAAGATGACCGGTCCGACTGTCCGGAACATGTCGCATCCAGGATGGCAATGGAAACGGTCATCAGACTTCTACTCTCATTCTTTGACAGCCACGTCCACCACCAACATACCGGAGAGCAGACGGATACGTCGTTCCTGGAGTACTCCCTTGCGAAGTCCAACACTCCGTCTCGTCGGCGAAGAGTCGTGCGGCGCCGGTCCGGATAAAATCAGACGGCCGAACATCTGAGGAATCTTCCGCCAGTTCTTGTCAGAACTCACGCTCGACTCTTCACGCGATACCTGCCGGAATTCATGGTGCGCACCTCAATGGAAAATCCAGCAGGACTGTGTTGCTGTACAAAAAGGGAGACCTGTACGACAGCAAATCGCCCAATCTGCCTGCCTCTCTGTGGTTATGAACTCTTCACACGATTAATCCTGAACAGGATTGCAGACAGAAACCAGACGAAGGACGGCCATGCGAGCAAGGGGCAGGGTTTCGAAAGGCGATTTAGCATGATCGCGTCTACATCCACACGGTAAGGCAGCGTTCATACTTGTAGCGCTACAACTTGCGTCGCGCTACTGCGTCGCGCTACAGCGTCGCGCAACAGCCGTCGCGCTACAGCGTAGCGCTAACAGCGTAGCTTCGCAACGTACTGCTATTTACATACGTTAGGATGATTAGAGTTGCTTACAGAGAAAAGTGGGAAGGTTGCTGGAGTTTCTTCGAGACAATTCACGGAAAGGTGAGACTGATACAGCTGTACCAGTCTCACCTTTCCGTGAATATCCGTGAAATATCTGACGCCATCCTTGACAGTTACTCCATTAGTCACTATTTTTCTGGTACTGCTTTTAGCGTAACAGTGTCCTTCTGTCCTAATAAGAGCATTTTCCGCAAAAAACACCCGAAGAGTACTCGCGCCACCTAAAAACAAGCACGCATGCTTTTTTTACCGGAGACACAAGGACCATAAAGGAACTTCTTGTTTGCCTTATGTTAACGCATTGGTGACCAGACGGTCTTCGCGTGCCTATTGTGGGAGATAAGGCCATTTTTTTCTGCTGCCGACAAATGCGACTGAATACTGTGTGTTGGTTTGCCATCTGTACGTGGATGCCAAAAACTATTTCGTCATCGGAGTCAACGTGAGGCACCACTGCATCAACCAAAGCCATCAAACACCAATAGCAATTCTGAAACCAAATAATTAAAGTCAAAAACGGTAAAAAAAACCAATTATAACGGTCTTCTGTTTCAAAACTTCATTAAAATGTAATAATAAAAAACAGGAGCTCACTATCAGATAAATATGAGAAATAAAGAGAAGAGGGTTGAATACAGAAAGAATGAATACGGAATCCAATGCCGCTTATGGATTATGGAGCGAAATCTGCTTTTCGAGTTCGCCCCCAATCTCCGCCTGGATCACAGGAAAAAGATCTATGCCGGTTTTCGAGGCATTCACAGCCAACAAAGCTTTGACAGTTTCTTGTACTTTTTTGGCCTAGGAGCGTATCAGTATTGAGTCGCATTGGTCGGCAGCAGAAAAAATGGCCTTATCTCCCACAACAGGCACGCGAAGACTGTCTGGTCACCAATGTGTTAACACAAGGCAAACAAGAAGTTCCTTTATGGTTCTTGTGTCTCCGGTGAAAAAAAAACATGCGTGCTTGTTTTTAGGTGGCGCGAGTACTCTTTGGGTGTTTTTTGCAGAAAATGCTCTTATTAGGACAGAAGGACACTGTTACGCTAAAAGCAGTACCAGAAATAGTGACTAATGAAGTAACTGTCAAGGATGGCGTCAGATAGTTACAGCTGTATCTGTCTCACCTTTTCGTGAATTTCTCAAGAAAACTCCAGCAACCTTCCCACTTTTCTCTGTAAGCAACTCTAATCATCTTAACGTTGGAAATTGCAGTACGCTGCGAAGCGAAGCTGTAGCGCGATGCTGTAGCGCTACGCTGTAGCGCTAAGCTGTAGCGCGACGCTGTAGCGCGACGCAGTAGCGCGACGCTGTAGCGCTACAAGTATGAACGCTGCCTAAGTAAGCTCATCGAAGTATTGCGAGTGTACAAGATGCCGTTATGTCTCACGTTCATCGACTTGGAAAATGAACTCCGTTGAGAAAGAAGCGGTTTTCGAAGCCCTGGGAAACCAGGGTATTCCTACTATTAGGTTGTTCGAAAAGTAGTGCGGCACTTTGACCAAATTTTTCGGACTAAATTTTCCGTCACTAATAGTCACATCTCCAATCTACAAGGAAACCGCAGTTGATGACTAGGACTAGTGCCCTTCTTTTGCACAGCTTCTCATTTACATTCTCATAGTACTACGGCAATTATGATAAAAAGAAGAGGTAGACCTCCATTCGACTTGAGGTAGATTTTTGGAATATTTGCTTTTTAAAGTATGCGATAGGGACCAAAGGAGGTGGTCATTAGAGGCTGCTAACTTTGTTGAATAACCTGGATACGGTCACCTCTGATCGAAATCTACGATCTTTTGGCGTAGCGTGATCCCCACATGCGGTCTTCGCTTTGCCGAGTAGTAGAGAAAAACTGAGTATTTCTGAATGAATCAAGCGTGACGTCATTCCTATTTTGACGTCGATTTAGGTGGACTATGGTCCTTACAACGGTGCTAGTATCCAATGATGCCGTTTGAAGTCCCAACACACTGGAATCTTTATCTCATGCACATCTGTTTTTGACTAAGCAATCTACTTTTCTGTTTGAGAGATCCTGCGAGGGACATGTGCATGATGTACGTAAGGACTCCAACACTCGCTACCAACCACGAGTTCTCACAAAAGGTCTTTAACTGTGTGCAAGGAAAAGAAAACTCAGTCACGGTCATTGGGTATGACTTGTCAGACGGGTCCAACTCACGAGGAGTTCTTCACAAAAAATTTTTCCGATAACCGAGATTGCGGAGAAGCATGGCAGTTGTCAGTCAGGTCGAGCCTAGAGAGGTTGCCAACTTACTGGTGGTCAAGAATATTGAGGGAGTAGCGAAGAAGACGAAGAACCAGTGCCCACCTCTTTGATTCCGCAAAGTCTTTCTGCTTTGACTTATACCTCAGAGACTTGGATTCTACGAAAGCAGGACGAACATGCGGTCCCCGTTATTCAACGCGCCACCGAAAGGGCGATGCTCGGAGTTTCCCGCTACAAGTGAGAGAGGGAATCCGGAGCTCCGCACTCCGCCGACGATCGAAGATCAGAGACGCAACCGCATTTGTCAAGGTTTGAAGATCAGGTGGGCGGGGCACGTCATTCGTTTCGTGGACGACCGCTGGACGAGAGCGATCACCGACTGGATTCCACGGGATGTCAAGCGAACACCTGGACGATCCCCTACAGGATGATCCGACTTCTTCTTGAGAGCGCTAAGCGAAAGAGGTTCATTGTGTCCCTCGATTAGAGAGAACCCATTGGGCATTTCTTGCACGTTGCAGCGACGCATGTAGACGTCACTGGCGCCCTCTCGAGGAATTCGATGATTAACAGGAGCACGGGTGAAACAGGTGATAGCCAGTGTGAAACGGAAAAACCCGCGGGAAAGTCAACAATCGGGAAAAAATTTTCCAAAATTTTCTCAAGGCAGATTTCTCTCAAAAGCACATACGATCCCTTTCTTCCAACAACGACCCAATGCAACCCACCCCCCCCTACCCAGCGGGCAAGAATGGGTCCCCATGTGTTTCACACAACTGTATCCTGGACGGAAGGGCATCATAAGGGAGGAACTCACTGGGGAGAATACTACGGCAGAATATGCACTGGATCGGAACAGACGGCAACAACGAGAACATCGAACTAACTCTATGGGAGAAGTGAAGCTGTACACTCTTATGCTAGACTGCAAGCACCTTTGCAACTTTCTAAAGTGTCACGTGAGACACCTTACTTGTCCAAATTGTGGTAGTGCTACTGGCCCAGCATCGCTACCTATGGGCTCCCACCTCCGCGCTACATATCCATTCCTCCTCTTTACCTTTCGATCTCATCCAAAACCACCAATAAACGAAAAGGTGTTAGTGCAGATTCAATGTGCTTTCAGGCAGACTTTCATGCTCGCCATATCTTACTTGGTGGTACTCTCTCGTGAAACTGTTCTGGTTCATCCAGCACCATTTAATAATCTCATTCTAGCTACCAAGGAGACAGCCTTCCTGGCTGCCATCGCCAGTGCCGGCATAGTGCACGCCATCACAAAAGGATGCAACACAGGTAATCTCACCGATTGTGGATGTGACAGTAAGCCAGCATTGCAGAAATATGTGGAAGGGGTGAGTTCGTGTCTTTGTAAAAGCCAGTGACAATTTGTCTGCCACTTCAACTGGGCCATTCAGGACCAGACGAGTCCCATAGGACGACATGAACAATTCTCATGGGGTGGTTGCTCGGACAATGTCCCATACGGGCAGAAATACGCCAGACAGTATGTTTGAATATTGACACATTTGAGATTGCTATTCAAATTTACTGCACCATTTGCTCAGTGAAGCGAGAAACAAGTCAAAGACTCCCTGTTCGGCTTCGAGGGGGCATTTCGTACTTGCTAGTTCTTTTGTTAGTTCATGTTAACTAATAGGTCGCACTTTTATCAGACCTGTAAATTAACGTGAAGCTGAATGTGAGCGAGTAAACCTTTTTGGTAGCTATAAGTAACAGGTCTCCTTATGGTGAACTATAATCTTAGCTGAGTACCATTTGGTGCCCCCGCAAAGGCGAACTGCCACAAAGACTTTTGTATCATAAGTATTGTGCAGATTCCTGGATGAGTACGAGAAGCAGCAGTTCGAAAAAGACCGCAATGTGAGCCATCTCGTCATGAAGCACAATTTCTTGGTTGGTCGAGAGGTGAGAGACTTTTACGGAAATTACTTGTAATAAATTACAATGGTGAGAAAATCGTACACTACCCGTTCTCTCGCTCATTTGCTGGAATCGTGGCTCGGCGCATGGAGATGCGAACCACCGCGTCGGAGTGATATTGCTGTTAGTTGCAAGCCCTCCCGTGAGCAGTGGTCCTCTGCCGCAGAGGTTTTATCATTTTTGCCGTTTGAAAGTACAGCTAATAGCGTCGCAATCAGTCGGCCATGTCGGGAAGCATGGAATAGGCCCCTCTACAGCACTCTCACTAATGGTTGTTTGTTTTTTTCCTAAATCGATCTTTATCCGATTACAACCAGCAGGAAAAAAGCCGGGTTGGGGGGGGGGTCATTCCACCGCTATGATATCGCGCCGACTGATAGCTACGATTTCAACTACACAGTGCAGTGGCACTGGAAGGGCACGTCCTGCCGTTAGGGAAAATTTTTGAGGCAGCTCCTTTCAAGGTAAATATGTGGCCCACTTCGAACGGGAAACTGGGAAAAGTCAACCACCGAATGCATTTCTCTCACAGGCGAGTAGGACCCCCCTCCTTCAGCGACCGAAGACGACCCGCACTAGAGATCCCCAATACGACGTGCCCTGAGTACTTGAGCATTTCGACTCCCCCATCCAGTTCCCGGTAGGGCAGAAAACTGCCACGGCATGCGCTGCAACGAGAATGGCTGTGCGCTTACCACAAGTGTTTCCTCATCGTAAACTCATATAGGCTAGTTCGCTGCAGACAAAGGGCGTGTCAGAGGATGAGTTTTGCGTGGTGCCAGTTGTTGATGCGAGCAAGTGAAAAGACTGTATCATAACGTTCGTATCACTCGTTTTCTACCAACTGTTGCCTTCATATCTGCTTCAGCAATTGGCAGAGAACGAGTTTGCCGTGGCACACTCATACTGCCTGACACGCCCCTTCATCTGCAGTGAGTTACAGTATACAACAACAGAGTCAACTGGACGAAGCCTCTGGAATGTTTTTGAACGTTTCCTTCGCTTTTTCTTCCACTGACAGCGCCTACATGTTAATATTTCAACCCCATTTCCTGTGCATTGCTTGGAACCTTACAGCTCCCACGTTCATTTGATGTTCCGCGCCCTTTCTGGAAATCATAGTGCCGTTCTCTTGTGAAAAGTCGACCTCTCTGCCCACCTAGCCAGCATAGGGTTCTATATAGGTTCCACGATTTTTTCTGCTTTCTTTCACTACTGTATCACGTATCCATTAATCATTATTCTTGAAAGCGGGCTCAGCCTTTGAAGGCTAAGCCAAAGCAGATATGGCAACCAGGTGGGCGGGGCGTCATCCTCTTCACAAGCGCGTGTGGCCACCTTTCGTATTTTTGGAAATTAGTACATCCTCCACCGTTGTCGACAAAGCTACGATATCTAAGGAGGGCGTAGGAACATCAAATGCACGTGGGCGCTGCCTTTAATGGACCAGTAGTTGAAAATATCTTTCTTCAGGCAATATCGCAAAATATTCGACGACAATGTCGATGTCACGGTGTGTCAGGATCGTGTGAGTTCAAAACCTGCTGGCTGCAGATGCCGAAATTCAGTGAGGTGGCCGAGATGCTGAAGAAACGCTATGATCACTTCGCCGTTCAGGTTGAGATGGATGTAATCACGCACCTTCACATTCATTCGCATTCACTATTCTTCTTTGTAGAAGATATGTAGGAGATTCCATAGACAAAACAAGCACTACTCAACTTGCACGCATTGTCTTCGAACTGACATCGGTCACATCGATGGTTTAGGTGACGAAAAGAGCACGAAAGCGACTGAGACGAAAAGAAAGAAGCGAACGTCAAAACCCAATTCGTGGCAACGAAATGGTTTACGTGATGCGATCGCCCAGTTACTGCGAACGGAATGACTCTGCTGGTAAGTTCCCTATTGTACACGACTGGTTGTAAGGGACTTATAAAAAGGTGCTCAGCGAACTTAAAGGCAGTGGCCGCGGTTGCTGGAAGCGGGCGGTTGTCGCTAGCGTCATTGGTGGAGGGGCTAAGTGGGATGTGCTCGAGCGCTCTCTCCACCGATGTTACTGGCGACAACCGCCCGCATTCAGCAGTTAAGCCCAGTGTTAACGGACGCTTAGGCCAGACACGAGGAAACTATCAGAAAGACCAATTTCCTCACTATTTTCCCAACATCATTGCAGATCAAATCGCCCAGAGTTCCGCTCATATCTTTTTATACTCGGTCACATACAAAGTCCTTTTCAACCTTTTTCGATTTGCCAATGAACCGCATCTCCCCTAGAAATCAACCCCTTTTTATCAATGCAAGACAATCCCTTACTTCTTCCCCCTGCTCTCTCTTTTTCCTTACGCTTCACTTCTCTCTCTCCTCTCCTCTCTCGTCTGCTCTCTCTCTCTCTATGAGGTCAGCCCATATAAAATTTCGAATCCAGACTTTGAGTTCCAAAGCCTGAGTGTAGTAGTGCCACCTTCAGCCTTAAGCAGCGATCAGACTTCGCGACGGCAGCGCTTCGCCGCGCGTTCGAAGCGGTCGATGCACATGATTTCAACTGCATCGATCGCGTCGAGCGCCGTCCCGAAGCGCTGCGAAGTCTGACGCTGCCTTACTCTCCATAGGCACTGTTTACAATCTGCAAAACCTAAGCCAGCGTTCAGAGTTCCTGATGAAGAGCGTCGACCGCGCTGCCATCGAACTGCGCTCGAATGCAGCCATAGACGGATATCGATAGAGTATGGGTGAATAGGAGGGCAAGCATTACCTGAACACACCGTCTGTACCCTCCACTTCTTCCACACTCTCCGAAACACCAGCTACTTTCGCCGAACTTGTGATTGAAGGCGTCCCATCTGTTTCCCAAACTCCCTTGCGAGCAGTGACTGGCATCGATTATACATGTCTAATGCATTTGAGGGCGGTTGCAATGGCAGCGCGTCGTCGCGCGTCTAAGCGCGTTATCGCGAAGTGTGAACGCTGCCTAGCAATCGAGAAAATTAAATACCGTGAAAGCACGTTATTTAGGTATTCTGGCACGACGGGACGAGAATGCAAGCATTCGTCGTACAACTCGACAGTTGTGATCTATTGTGTTGTGGAAGAGGTACAATACTCGATGGAACGTCGAATGACCCAATGTCACTGTAAATTTGTTTGTGTTGTCAGGTGAATTGTAAGGAATGTATTGAAGATGTACAAGTAACACCTGCAAGTATTTGTGTAATTCCATTTGTGATTCACATGCCCATTTTAATGAAAGCCGCAGCCTTATGATGACATAAGGGTGGCCAAAATGACGATTCTCGGTGATAGCCCAGTTCCACATCAGCCCAAAAAGAAATAGCTTTTGTCAGACGACTAGGCCATTTCACTACGTGACAGCAACTTCTAGGCTTTCATTTCTCCGATCCAGGCAACACAGGTCAGCTAGTCCTCTCTTCTCATTACTGTTACATGATATGTCAGCTCCCTGTTCCACTTTTAAATCGCTGATTGAATTGCTTGAACACTTTGATCAGCTGTTTTTGCCCGTTATAAGTACACCGTGCATTGTTGTGAATAATATCAAGCTCGCATCATAACAATCTCATTGTTGTTCCAATAACATTGAAGTGTTTCATGAAATGCCTTAAAAATGTCCGCAACCAACGCAACTGACCATAAGCAGATCTTGCTTGCCGGACAGGGCACGCCATTGTTGCGATACACAACGGGGGGTTGTGTTTGACCGCCGCGAGGAGGAGGGGGGGGGGGGTGTATTTGGTCAGAAAAAAAATTGCACTATTGAAATATTCCTAGTCCAAAAAAACTCAAAAAATTTTTTTACGGTTGAAACATTGCCTATAGATGTAATTTGATGCGCTGATCACGATATAAAATCCGTTTCGAGCGCTGTCGTTATTTCGCGCCATTTTGCGCCAATTTGGCGCCCACCACTTTTTTCACCAAAGCTGATGAAAACTTGCATATGGGGGTTAATTGAAGCCCTGATTACAAATCCAACATTTATTTTTGGCGCTGGCTCCATTCGGCGCCATTACGCGCCAATTTGCCGCCACATTGGCGCATAATGGCGCCAAATGACGCCAGCGCTCGAAACGGATGTTATATTCGTGATCAGCGCATCGAATTACATCTTTAGGCAACGTTTCAGCGGAAAAATTTTTTTGAGTTTTTTGGGGTAAGAATAGTTCAATAGAGACAAAAAAATTTTTTGATAATTGATTTATCTTGTATCATGGACGCTATGAAGGGAGGAGTATCGTATTTAGTCTTTGTTGGGAGAGGGACTGCCCATGATCTATAAAACTGCTATTTCCGACAGTTGAAAATGATTGTCAAATCCTAACGACCTCTCTCCCCCGCCCCCTCTCCCTCACTCGACAGCAAAATATTGGGGAAAAACCAGAAATTTCATGGGAAATTTTGGAAAAACTGGTAAGGGTTGGGGAAAACCTGGGAAATTTTCCTGCTACACATTGGGTATACACCCCCGCCCCACTGCTCGACGGAAAATTCTTGGCTGGAAAATTGGAAATTCTTCGGGAAAAAATGGACAAAGTGGTAGGAAGTTGGGAAAATCTAGGAAAGTGGTAGGAGATAGCATGGGGAGGCGGAGTAGTGTTTGAGGATGGGATTATGGTGGGGGGGGGGTCGTGTCGTATTTTCCAGGAAATTATCACAACGCGATAGCTGCCCTGTTGCAGGAAGGCAAGACAGGGCAGCTTAGCACAGACTTCCGGTTTGCCAAACTACTGGTTGGAAATTTCTAGCGTGTGCGCTTCCCCCTTCCTCTTCTCCTTGGGGTGCGTTCACACTTTGCGGTAGCGTCCACCAGCGACTTTCAGCGTTTCGAGCGTCCGCTAGCGTCAGGGACTAAGAAATTATAGCTATTGATCTAGCAAAAGGGAGCGTCCACTGGCGTCTTCTCCACCAGCGACCAGCACGGTACTGTGCGGTAGTAGGTGCGGATGCACTTGCAACAATCTCACGACGCCTAATCCAGCTGTCTTCTCCCTTTTACTTCCCCCCACTCTACCAGCAGTCTGCCACCCTCACATCCATCAACACTGAACTTCGGGGCTTCCAATGATTTTTGACGCGTCGGGGCTCTCCATCAGCCGGCCTGTTCACCTCAGGGACGCTGCCATAGTAACTATTTTAGCGATTTCAGCAAGGCATGATTTGTACCCTGGCAGGAATCGAACTCGAAGCTCAAAGTGCAGACGCGAGCTTCCACACTCAACCTCTCCGTGGTCCCTGCCTTTTCTGTGTGCGCTTCCTTAAAGGCAGTTGGCACGATAAGTCGCTATACAGGTGGAGGTTTTGTACGACTGGCTTACTACGCTGGCTTACGAATCCGTGAACCTGCGACAGGCGCTGCGTGAAGCCTTTTCCAAGGAGGGTACCTCTATAACGCCGCTCTTGAACAACAACTTTACGTCCCAAACGCCTTCCTTGCCCGCCCGCCACAAACGGAGCCTCGTATTCATTCATTTGCTGAGCAAATTATGAAGCAAACGGATTTGGTATGAAGCGGCGGTGATGTTGCATGCATATATGGGTACACATATGCAGCCATATCTTCGGTAGCGGTGATTGGCAAGATGCCTACGGGAAACTCGTCCGAAATCGATTTACAAGTCACTGAGAACGGAGGCTTTCTTCTTCGCAGGATTTTGACCGTTTCACTCCGTTCTTTCGCCATTTCCCACTATACAGCACCCTACTAGCATTTTAGGCTAAGTAGGGAACCATCGTGCCAACTGCCTTTAAGCGCAACAAATTCTTACGCTATGCTCAGATTCGTAGCTATCAATCATAGTTCTGATGATCTGTAGTGGAGCGCCGACGTTCCAAGAGAGAACGGTGTCAGTACGACCCCTCCCCACCTAAGTTGAAATAGATTTTCCCCAGCTTCCTACCACCTTTTCCGGAATTTCCCGGGAACTTTTCTATTTTTCTTTTCCAAAAATTTTGCTGTCGAGCGGAGGAGGGGGCACATAGTACACATGAAACAGGACAAAACACGAAAACCCTACAACCAGGAAAAATTCTTTCCCAACGCAGCAAATTGCTTTTTAAGCCACATACGACTTCCCTTCTCCCAACGACCAAATATGACCCCCTTCCCAGCGGAAAAGTAGGACCTCCCCTATGTGTTTCACACAACAATGCTGTACCCTACGTGTAGAGCTAACCAGCTAGTAAATACTGACTATTTGTTCCCCAGAAGCCTCCATCGTACCACTGCCATCCCTCGGTGCGATTGCGAAAGATTACGGTTCTCCGTTCAATCGCGTGCGCTGTTCCTCTGATCGATCCTCAGAAGTAACCACGTCATCCGGGCAGTTGATTAGGGCGGTCGTCAACGGGCCGCAGCGCGTGCCAGGAACTATTTGCTTTTCCAGGCTAATTTAGTCAATTTTTTCCACCTTGTGAAGAAAAGGAGCTGCTAATCTGGGAAAAAGTAGCCAAAACAGTGAAAAGTTGGAAAAAATGACTAAATTAGCCTGGAAAAAGCAAATAGTTCCTGGCACGCGCTGCGGTCCGTTGACAGCCGCCCTAATCAACTGCCCGGATGACGAGGGTACACTGGTGTTACATACCTTTATTCGTTTCATCAAGAGTCAGTACCCTATGCCGTAAAAGTGGTTCAACACAAGAAACTGATACCCTTTGCCAATTCATAATTTTTACATTCGATTACAGAATAGGGAGGATCAAATAAGTAGACTGATGGCTAGAATTCACAAGCTAATGTTTTGATTGAATGTCCCTGTGCATCGGTCAGCGACAAGACGGCGTTTTCCTTCGTCTTCTCCAGGAACACCTTCCTGCCATCAGGACAATTTAGCGCATAGGCAACGTCCTGCAATATGAGTGTACAAACAGGATGACCTCTTTCGCCATACCCATTCTTCCTACGAAATATTACTCTAATTCTCTTATCGATTAGTAAGAGCTAGTGGCTATATCCTATATAACTGATAGGTGTAGACAGTACTACCTAAACCCTGGAGGAGAAGAATTTCTTCATGCGAGCTTGCATACACCCCTTATTCTGCAGATGGAGAGGGCGTGGCTTCATTCGTAAGTAGAGGTGGCAGCGCTTGTGGCGGGATATTACCGTATGAGACAATCGTAAATACCTCTGTCCTGTAGGACGACAACTGTCTAAAATAAAAATATCCCATGAAAAACATATCTTTACCCACGTTACGGTAAAGTATAAAACCACGCCTTCCCCACATTCGTGATATGAAATGTTATAGAGCAAGCCAGGTCTATAGCGTTTGGGTGCATGACATCCTCAGCTGTAGTCAGTGCACAGCATCGTGATTTATGAAATGGTGGTGTAAGTACGACCCCCAAACTCCAAGGGAAAGTGTCAGTACAGACCCATCGTAAATGGGGTCTCGGCACGGCCCCCCTTCCCCTAACATCTACCTCCCAATTTCCCACATTTCCAGTTTTTCGCCCAAAAGTTGTCCATCTAGCGAGGGGCGGGGCTAGCGAGGGACACATATGGCCGATGTGAAACGGGAAAAATCACGCAAAAAGTCAACAACCAGGGAAAATTTTTCCCAACGCAACAAATTGCTTTTAGAGGCACATACGACGCTCTTTCCAACGACCAAATACGACTCCACCCCTCCCCAGCGGAAAAGTGCGACCCTGCTATGTGGTTCACACAACGATGCTGACCGTGGCTGTTGTCGATGAAAAGATTGACTAATAGAAGCTAGTACTTACGCCGTTTTTCTTCTTCTGTATCACTAGTTTGCCACCACTGCGCAGATGGTGGACCATTTTCACATCTCCTGGGTTCAATGTAAAACTGGGGCTCAACTCCACAGGAAGCCTAAAGTCACGAATAAGTTGCTCGGAATGCAACAAAGAAGTTTGGCTTCCATGCAACTTACGAAGATGGTGTACTTGTGGTTGAAGGTTCGGAGGGGCCACTCGATACCGATGTCTAAAAGGAGTTTTTTCGGTTCGAAAATCCTCTGGATAAATAATCAAATGTGCCTGGGTCAAACGCTTCGGCACTATTGAACTAACTACTCCTACACCAGAAAGTCAAAAAAATTTTCGCTGAAACGTAGTCTATAGATGTATTTCGATCAGGGTACAGCATGGGGATGTGTCAAATGGCGGTGTGGGTACGCCCCCCCCCCCCTCCTGCTCTAACTGACAACCAGATGCATGTTCACCTCAAATGGCTTCCTGAAATGGAATCTGAATTCTCGAAAGGCGCACTCTGCTTTAAAATTCAGGAAATAAAAGGCTGTTTCAGCCTCATGCAATATGAGGCTGAACAACAGCCTCGCATTACCTACAATTTTGTCTTGGGATTCAAAATAAAACTCCTCGTTCGATAACTTTGTATGACATGCAACTTGTAACAAGGAACACAATTGAAATAACTGCTAATGGTGATCATTGATAGGCTGAATTGGTGAAAAAAAAAATAGCCCCAAGGTGAGCGTGTCACGGCCCAGATGTGCACTGGGGTCTGTTCGGGGGGTTATATCTTTTTAGGTGCGGAGCTTTTGAGAAATCCTGAGCAGCATGCAACGGCAAAGTTTCTACTATTGTGTA